AGAAGTCTGAATTTCACTGAACAATCATTATACAGTGCTTGGAAATGAACATATACCATAGCTGCAAAATTTAATACTTACTCATCTCATCCCTGGGTAAAAAACAGCAAAAATCAAATAAGAATTTGAAATAATACAAAGCAAACATTATATGTAATGACAGTACAGGATAAGAGCTTCAACACCCTTTATAAGATTGTCCTTATTCTTTTATATTTGCAGAACTGCACAGAAGAGTAAATAAAAATTAAATTGCATTTATATACGAAACTATCTTTGAAAAGTTACCTGAACTTGCATACATCGAGTTCAAAAGTGTAAGACAAGCTATTTAATTTTGATTTATTTAAATCCCCAAATGGTAAAATATATTATTTGGAAGAAACAGAAGTTTTCGCTAAATACCAACATAATGGACGAAGTAAACCAGACTTAATAAAAAAAGAGTTTCTTTGAAAACTTCCATAAAAAGTACAGGCAGAATGGCAGTTAGAAAAGCAGTGTTTAAGGCAAACTTAGTAAGAATAACCTTAATGAAAATAGGCATACAATCCCATAAACAACGAAGTAATTTCCTCTCAACAGTGGGAAAATAGAAGTGGAAGCAGAAATAATGGCTATTGTCAGTTTAGTGGGAAGTACTGAATAACATTATTCAAAATTGACCCAAATGTTTCTGATTTAAAATATGCTTGAATCACCTGCCACTTAGTTGTTGTAGAGCAATGAGAAAATAAAATGTGTTACCCTAGTGTTCAGAGCATAAATCTATAAAATGCCAAAACTTTTTCAAAAAAGAAAAAAGTAGAATTATTCAGACTGTGTGTGTACATAACCAAAACAAAAGCGATCAATTCTGTTATTTCGGCCCATGTTAAAAATGTGCACACAGATGTGCACAAGTTGGCGTCAGGCTAACCCGCTGAGCGCAGAGTTCAGCATCAGGCCTGCGATCACGTGCACACACAGACGCCTCAGACAGGAAGAGGTTAATCATGAGTTAAAAGAAACAATGCTTTTAAAGAATATCCAATAAATGTGTTCTTTAACTGTCTTCTTAAAAAACAAAATAATGTACACATCATTAAGTTAAATGTCTCAGCACACGAATTTGCACCATATGAATTTGGTATATCAAATTGTCTTATAAAAATATTTATATATTTTCTTTTTGGAGAACTATGGCACATGAAATTACATAGGCATGACAAAAAGGGTCTGTTTCTTCTCATCAGCTGGCATGACCCCATGCCTTTCTAGCCTACAGGAAAATTACGGAAACTGCTGGATCACTGAAGCTGTCCAGGTTCAGAAGGGATGATCTCTGCTTTCCCACCAGGCTTGAGGTGAGGACAGCTCAGTCCCCTAAGTAAGTGTCCTCTCACATGGTCCTGGGCGGCAGGTGCAGTTTCTACGTGCCCGCTATTGCTTTGACTGCACTGTATATCATCTGTCGACGCGACATGCCTGTGAAAGTCAAGTGCCAATCAGTCCTGCTGACATTTGGTAAACTCTTTTCCAGGACTTCGCCCACTGTCACCAAAAGGCCTGACCACCTCAGATTGTAGTCCTCAGGACTTAGACTTTGAGCCTGTTGTACGAATTCTGAAGGCACTGGTGTAGCTTGTGTAAATGTTTCTAGATGGATGCCATGGACAGGATCTTCAACTATCAAACAACCAACGTCAAACCATTTTTCAGGTAGCAATTCTGCAATGAAGTTTTCTACTGACACAGCAATCTGTTTTTCATGGATCACTCCAGTTCTATGCAAGATATCTATCCGTTCCTGGGCACCTTTTAAACCAGCTGCATAGCCCACTGGTTGTGGGGCAATGTTGGGCTGAATGGCTTCCTCCATGACCACAGCTAAACCGAAGACCTCCTGGAAGGCGTCTCGGACAGCAGCAACTTTTACTTCTTTATTCGAAGTCACTACAATATCCAGTTCACCTCCAGATTTGATAGACGGAGCCATGCCAGGGTCCAGCGTTGTAATCATGCTTTCTACGGAATGTTTTGTTTTATCAAGCACAGATTTCACCGCAGGATTTCCAGCCACACCCTTAATAAAACCCCAGAGTCCACCAGCAGATGCTTCATCCTGACCGCTAACAATGCTAGGATTCTTCCTGTTCCTCTGGAAAAGTAATGGCTGATGTGGTTCCAGTTCCCTGGGCCAGAGATGTCAGCCTGGCTTGCTGAGTGTAATGGGAGTTGGCAAAATACCTGTTACTGGAGGTGCAGAAAAACGATGGCATCAGGGGTGTCTGGGGAGCTCTTCCTGCATGGCCCCTTGTAATGTCATAAGGTGAACCAACAGCAAATCCTGATGTAGGAGGACCCGAAGGCGGGGCAGACAGAACAGTACTCGGGGAAGAAGGTGAAGGTGGGACGTGGGACACAGGCGGATTACTGAAGGCAGCAGCAGAGGGTGGGGAAACAGGAGTTGGCATAGAAGTAGCAAGTGGTGGGGCAGAAGGGACTGGTGAGGGAGGCACAAAAGGCAACGAGGCCGAAGGCCTTGCAGGAGGAAGGGATGGCTTAGGGGTAGAGTATGCGTGGGGTGGCCAGGGCTGCGTGGGAGACACATCTGGAGAAGAAAAAAAAACTGGTTGCAGCCAAAGAAGCTGGGGTGGAAGACGTTGCGGCAGTAGCACCAGCCATTCCGAAGGATTTGGTGGAGGAGTTCCAGGGGGTGTTGTCTCTATTCCACTCTCTTCCATCATTTTTCTTCAACTATGGGGTGTCCTGGGGGCCCGAGAGAGTGTCTGTGTGGCAGCTGAAACGTGGGGGACAGGGAAGTCAGGATGTTGACACTCTAAATTGGACTTTTGCCATGGTCCCACAGACCCTTGAAGCTCATTTTCTACAATCCTTTTCTCTCTGTTCTTCACATTGAATCATTTCTATTGCTCCTTCTTAAAGTTTCTCTTTCTTCTATCATTCCCCATTTCACGGCTAATCCCATCCAGTGACTTTGAAATACTCATGTATTGTACTTTTCACTGTGCTAATTTTCATTTGGTAGATTTTAAGTAGTTTCTATGTTTTTCTGCTGAAATTTCCTATCTTTTCATTTTTAGGAACATATTTTCCTTTACATCCTTTATGTCCTTTTGATTCATGGTTATAGTCAGTGCTTTAAAAATCCTTGTCTGCCCATTTCAACATCTGGGTCATCTTGGGGTCAGTTTCTATGGACTGTCTTTTTCTTTTGCAAATGACTCCCTTTTTCTGTTTCTTTATAGTCAGGTAATTTTGGATGTATGCTGCACATCATGAATGAGAGGTTGTAAACCCTCTGGATTCTGTTATAATAGGAACAGTGTTAATTTGTTTGTTGTTTTAGCAAGCTCTTAACTTGGTTGGCAACAAATGCAAAGTCTCTTACCCCCTCCCTACCCCCGTAGTAGGTTGCAACTCAAATCTCAGTTCAGTTCCTTTAGCTTTAGCTGAGCTGTTTGGAGTCTGACCATAAATGCATCCGTGGTTCATGGGTCAGCCAGATATTTGGCAATTTAGACACAGAATTTGGAGCCACTTCTCTCTCTCTTCCTCTCCTTCTAGAATTTCGACCCCCACTTTTCAGCAGCTATTGTTCCCCCACAAATTCTGTCCTCTGGTAGTCCTCAGGGCTGTAACACTTTGTGTATTTTAACACATTATGGACCAGTGATGCAGATTTGCATCATACATTTTAATTCCCCGTCCTCAATGTGTTAAAAGAGTGTTTGTAGCCTGGCACAGCAGTGATTGAAACCTGCTTTCAGGCCAAACTCATAAGCTGGGAATTCACCAGTGATATTTTTGTCTTTCACGTGTTGACTCCCTTCTAGTATCTGCCTGCTCTGGTCACTCTCCAGTGCCTTAAGACAGTTGTTTTTCATATTTACCCCCAGAGTTTATAGTTGTTACCTGTGGTAGAGTTGGTCAGGTAGGAGCCACTTAGCCATAGGAAAATGTGGCAATTCTTATTTGTCTCGCTTATGAACAATGTAAATGGTCCCATCTGAGACCTGGTGAGGCTGGGGTCAGGAGAGGAAACGGGGTCATGGGTATGTCACACAATGGGCAGGGGGAACAATCAGCTATGATTAAAAAAAATAGGGTTGGGGATTTTTAGAGTAAAATCCTAAAACAGACTGTCTCCTATGCAAAACCTCTATTTTGTGCATTAGTAAATTGGGGATCATGTTAGTATATGGTCAGCGTTGATTGAGTGCTTACTAGGTCTAGTTCATTAAAGGCATTGTCTCTTTTAATCCTCAAGGCAACTCAATGAGATGGGATTACTTTTATTTAGAGATTTTGCAGAAGAGGAGACTGAAGTTTAGTGAGGTTCAGCCCAAGAAGCCAAAGTTGTTTGCATGATAAATCAATAATAATAGTAATGGCAATAAAAATAAGAACAGTGGCTTATATTTATTGAACGATTGTCATGTTGTACATAATGTGAGGTGTTCTATATACAGTATCTCACTTAATCCTTCCAACAACTCAACAACTCTAGGAGGTAAGTACTATTATTACCACTCCATCCAACTCTACCTTTTCAGGTGGAGGAGTGGAGGCTAGAAGAGGCTGAGTAACTTGCCCGAGGTCACACAATTAGCAAGGGGTGGGTCTGGGATTTGAACCCAGGCAGATTAGCTCCAAACCCAATTACTTAACCTCTGTGCCCCAATTGCCTTCTGGCTATGATAAAACATCTGAAAAGGCCTGTCACCTTAGAGAGCCCCCAAGAGGCAGGTTTCCTTTCTTTTAATAAATGCTGGATTGGATCGGATGGAATCCACAAGGCTGCAGGCTTCTGGGTTCCATGCACTTGGATGGTACCTGCGAATGTCTGTGGGGTATGAGTTAGCCCGACAACGCATTTCTAGCCATTCACCATACACCCCAGCCTACAGCACAAATGAGGAAATCTTCCTAAGCTGAAATAAACTGCAATAAACTGCAGAGGTTCCCTCATCCTGTTTCTCACTTCATGTTTTGGATGCTGCAGTCCGGGTGAACAGAGATCCCAAGCTCTGGCCCAGACAGCTGCACTGCCTCCAAGCGCTGCCATGAACCACTTCCAGACTCAGATCCGGATGCTGCTGTCCAGCCATCAGCCGAGCCAGGTACAGGACAACCTGCTGGAGGAAGAGCTTCTGTCCAGGGAGTACCACTGCGCCCTGCTCCAGGAACCTGATGGTGAGGCTCTGGCCAGGAAGATCTTGACCCTGCTGCAGAAAGGAGACCCGGACTTGGCCCTCTTGGAGTGTGCCTGGAGTGGGCTGCAGGCCCCAGCATCTGAGAAGGACCTCGGCTCCAAGGATGATGGTGGTAAGCTGACACCCCCTTTGCTCCAGGAGCAATGACTGGCTGTAAGCAGCTCAAGGATTTTCTCTCCTCTCGGGGAAAAGAAGTCAGTGTGATCGTCCTTGTCCCAAAATGGGAAGGCAGACCTGGGCAGGAATCAGGGCTCTGGTGGAGCTGGCAGAAGCAGCAGGTGCTTAGAGAACTCAGTCTGTGATGCTCATGTGCTGGAGGCATACGATGTGCTTCCCACTCTACTGAAAAGAAAACCTGGAGGCGTGCAGCCAAAAGGGTTTACTCCCTGAGCCTCCGCGATGTGTCAGGCCCTGTACTGGGCACTGGGAGTAGCGGGGGGCACAGATCAGCTCTAATAGAGAAGATGGGCGCAGGCACAATCAGTGTGGTTCAATGATCGACTAACAAGGGGCCATGAGCAGGAGAGGCCACAGAGCTGGATTGCAGAAGATGCTGTGTGGGCCTATGCCTGTGCATGCATGCACATGCGCGTTTGTGCATTTATGTGTGCATGTGCGTGTGTGGGGGCATATGTGTGCATGTGCACGCAGGTTTTGTGTGTGTTTGTTTGTGTCACAGAGAGAGACAGAAACTGAAGGATAGACAGGGAGGAAGAGAAAGGGGGAGACAGGATGGAAAGAGACAGACAGACAGAGATGGAGAGAAGGGAGAAAGGGAGAGTGAGGAGGAGGGAAAAAAGAGAGAGAAGGTGGTGGAAAGAGTGAGCGAGAAAGAGAGAGAGACGGGGAATGGGAACCAGAGGACGAGAGGGAAAGGGTGTCTTATTTTTTGAGTATTGATGACACTTGATGCATCTTAAATCAGCAAAAACCAGCCCACACCATGCTGTGTGAGCCTTGGTCCTCAACCATGTTAGGTCTTTCTTCCCGTTACAAAGAGATTGTCTTTGTTGCAAACAACCTTCTTCTCAAAGGCACGTGTTTGTTCTGTTTCCTCTACGTAAATCTGTGCTTTTCAAATTTTATAACTTGGCGTCATAAATTCCTGGTCCTCCTTGGTCCCTTTATGGTGTCAGAGTAACTTAAAACTTGAGATAAAGACAATGGTTCATATTTCTTGAGTATTTACTGTGTACCCCGTAAAGCCTAAGCACATTCGGACGGACACCTTCTTAGGTAGTTCCCACATCCACTGTAACCCCTTTGATGATCTCCATCCTTACTTTACACATAAAGAAGAAAACAGACCACCAGAGGCAACACAACCCCTGGGTCCTCAGGTAGGAAGTGGTGGAGGTGGGGTTTGAAGACAGACAGGCTTTTATCCTCAATGTGACCTTCGGGGGTAACAAGCCCTTTGATGGTCTTGACTTGGGCACCAGGGCGGTGTAGGTTTTTCTCCGGCTCTTCTGCCAAGATATGTTTATATGGGGTTGGCTCTCCCAAGCTTCAATTCTTACCCAGATGGTCTCCTGGACACATCTTTTACTCTCCCCCTCTTAACAGACCCCTGGGGAACAGGCATCTTTACCACCTGAAGGATCTCCCTGAGTTCTTAACCACAGTGCCTGCAGCCTGTGTGGTCTCAATGGGAGTGCAGAGGCCAACCTGGGGGAAAGTCACAGCCTTCCTCTCTCCCTGACCCCACCCCCACCCCTGCAAACTGCAGGGTTCTTCAGATACCTCTGCCCCGCCCTCCTCCTCCCTCTGGTTCCTGTTATTTAATTGCGTTTCCTCCCTGGGGATGTAATATTTTTATTTCTGATCCCACGTGACTCTAGAAAGGGAACTGGGCTTTAAGAGGGTGGGAGACAGAGACGGACAAATGTCTTTCTTTCCTGCTCCTTCTGTCCTCTGGGCCAGCTCCTCTCCAGGGCCAAAGGCTTGACTAGGCAGGGGTGCCCGCTGTGGTGCCAGCAGGGAGGGAGCAGTTTTCCGTGGGGATGAAGGCGAATGGGAAAGAAAATTGTGTGGTTTGTAAATAAAGGGCACTGACTTGAGTTTCAGTGGGGTCCCAAAAAGGAAATCACCAAGTGAGGTTTTCATAACTCTCCCCACAACCCTGTAACGATCTTCACCCTCCACGGCTCTAAATCCTGCACTGGCTCCCCCATCACTCAGAGGAAAAGCTAAATCTGGACGGTGATCCCCTTCACGACCTGGCTGTCATCACTACTCTGCTTTCATTCCCAACTTCGGCCATACTCCAGCCATGCCGACCCCTCGCTCTTCCTGGGACAGGCTTGGCACGCTCTCTACCTCGGGATCTCTGCACCTGCTGTTCCCTCCGCCAAGAGCACCCTTCTCCAGATATCCTCCTGGCCAACTACCCTTCCAGCTCTCGTTTAGGTGTCACCTTCTCAGAGACGCTTACCCGACCATCCCGTTTAGAATTGCAATGCCCCCTCCACACTCTGAGCCTCCTCCCTAGATGGACATTTCACCGTCTATGTAGTTTACTTTTGTATGCTTGTTGTTGATTGTCTGACTCTCCCACTGGAAAGTAAGTTCCATGTGGGCAGAGATCTTTATTTTAACCATAGCCATATCCCAACTGTCTAGCATGATGTCGGGCACAGGATAGGTAGACCATATGCATTTGCTGAATGTAGGATGGAGAGATGGGAGGATGGAGGAATGGATGGAGAGATGGATGGATGGGTGGGTGGATGGCTCATGTACAACCATCGTTCTCACTTTACAGGTGAGTCAACTGAGGCACAGAGCGGTTATGGCTTGGGAAAGGGGCGCTGTTAGGTCTCACCGAGTCCAGGTCTGTCTCTGTACTGTCTGCTTGGTTGCCTCTTTGAAACAACCCAAAGGGATACTGTAAATCTACCCAAAACAGGGTGACTGGCTTCAGACTGAAACTAGCCCGATGATTCAAAATGCACCTTCGATATTGCAGTGCTTCAGCTGCAGCTGTGCAGAGAGCCCACTGCTGGGAGTGCGGCCTTGGGGGGCTCACTCTGTGCTATGCAAAGCAGGTCATGTGCATGCAGCCCCAGGCCAGCACAGGTGAGGCTGGACCAGGTCCTTGTCCTGATGGAGCTCAGGAGCTTCACTGGGGAACCAGAGCAAACATTCGCCCGTTCTTTAGTCAACAGTGGGTGACAACCCCTGGAAAGGCCATCTGAGGCCAGAGAAGAGAGAATTATGATGGCAGTGATGGGAAAAGAGCCAGGCTGGAGGCTGGACCACTCTGGGACCTTGGCCATGGAACTGCACTACTCTGACCCTCGGTTTCTTCATCTCTAAAATGGGAATGATGATAATCAACCTCCCCGGGCTGTACTAAGGGTTAAATGAGTTGGTAGCTAGGAAACTATCCAAAGCAGTGCTTAGCATTAGACAGATAACTCTAGGGGGATTAACAGCATGGAGAACTGGACGGGGGGGGGGGGGGGGAGACTAAGCCAGGGGTTTGAGGTGCTGACAAAACAGTCGTGTCTGCAGCCTCGTTGGGGGCACCAAATAATACCTAGACACTCAGTGCTGAGTGCATGGCGCTGCTGTGCACACGGGGAAAATGTCAATATGGCCCCGCCCTCAGATTGGCACAGTGGTTAAGCACATGGGCTGTGCCCTCAAATGGCCTGAATGCCAGCCATGATTCCCTGATTCCAAGTGACCATGAGCACTTCCTGGGGCTCCTCTGGGCCTTAGTGTCCCCGTCTATAAATCGGAGGCAACAGTAGTACCCAGAGTGCTCTTCAGAGGACTCCATGGCCTCATCCAACCAAGGCACACGCATTGTGGCAAGAGGAGACCCGGCCCTGACTCGTCGGCCTTGAAGGTGGTGTTGGGCAAACACAGGCCTGCGGTGACCAGAAGGATGACTGTGGGGGAGCTCAGAGGCAGCCGGCCCTGGGTTTGTGAACGGAGTGAGGGGCACCCAAGTGTGTGTGGGGCACGCTTTCGCAGAGGCTGTATGTAGGTTTTCTGTTTTATTGTTTTCTTTGGCTTCCCTTTGTTGTTTCATTGCTCTCTGCTTTCAGGATGCGATGTCATGATGGAAAAGCAGGGACACACCCCAGCTCCAAGCTCTCCCTCCAGCGTCGTTTCCCATTTGGCCCTTAGGATGAGAGTCACAGAGTGGTGGCCATGCAGAGGGGAGGGGCTGCACCCCCCCCCCCCCCCCCCGCCCCCAGCTCCTTCCTTTCCCCAAACCCAAGGAAACATGTTGGAGAGGACAAATGTTGTCCTTTCACACTGGGCGGCTTCCCAGCCAGACACACTTCACCTTCACCCCAGGAGCCACAGGAGCAGCACCTGTGCCCGGAAGTTGGCACTTCCCCATGGGTTTTCCCAGGTTGACCAGGGGCCTGGCTGGGCTCCAAGCCTGACCCAATCAGGGGCGGTTTCTGTTCTTTGTTGCTGTTACTTGAGCCGCTCACCTGTGTCCTTATTTACTGTTGATTGGTCTCGCCAGCCACCTGCCCAGCCACCTATCTGCCTGCCCTCAGACTTACCTGGTTTACCTACCTACCTACGTACCTACTATCTACTTATCAATTCATCAACTTATAGCCACTATCTACTTATACATACTTAGCAATTCATCAATCTTTCTACTTCTGTAATTGACAATATATTTATGTATCAACGTATTTACCTGCCTTCCTACAACTAATCCATTTGTATATTACCTACTAATAGGCGTATGTTCTCATAAGCCTCCCTACCTGCCTAATTTGAATGCATAGCTGTTTGATTCTCTCTATTCACTTACCTCCCCACTTACGGATCTGTTTTCCTTCTTTTGTTTTTGAACCTCCTTCCTTCCCTCTTCCTCAGTCATTTATTTAGCACCTGCTAGGAATTGTAGTGGTCACAAAAAAGCATAAGAAAAAGCACTCCCAACCTAGGAAGGGAGACCTCTTCAGCCATTTGGAACTTGAGTCTACCTTGATCATTTAAATCCAAGCTCCATTCATTCATTCAAATAGTCTTGGAGTTTGTCTTTTAAATGAGAAAATAAAACACCAGGTCCCAGATGTTAGCAACGTAATAATCTAATCTGTGGCAAGGAGCTACACGAGATCTGACAGT